CTCATCAAAATACCAAAGATAGAAGATCTGAAAAAATGTGAGAACGACAGAGACATAACATTGTTTTCAGCACCAGGAAAGGGTTTTAAAAGAATGTTGCTGAACAGAATGGAAGATTGCGTAGACTCAAATTCCAGAGTAGGCCTAAAATTACACAAGCGAAAAGCCAAGATCCTCAAACACAACAAAGAGAATACCATCAACGTTACACATGATAAAGCATCTGTGACAGAGTTGGACTGATCTGAAGCAATGTCAACTCATCTATTTGTTTTCACGTTTTCCACTGACTCGTCTGAACTTCTCGTTGATGTAGATGTGATTGATCTGGTTCTTTGTCGTGTTGTCTGTCGAAGCCCATGTAGCTTTGTGAATGCGTTCATGGAGGAGAATGATGACATCTATGTCTTTGCTGTTGAAAGCAGATAAATGTGCAAGTCTTTTGCCACTTTCATTTCCTTCTTCCAGTCCCCGGCGTTCCGTGGTTTCTTTGTACCTGATGTTGTCCATTACGTCTTTGGCGTTCGGGTCCTCTACCAGGATGGTCAGGTTGTTTCCTAGATGCTTCTCTACGGTCGGCCACAGCCTCTCATAAAACTAGTCATTATCTTCTTCTTCACTGACCTCGTTGTTGGGTGCATGACACTATGTTATATGCACTGTAATCCCCTCATTCTTTGTTTTGAAAGTTTCATTGACCATCCTGTATCCATGAGATTCGTGCTTTTACAAACAGCATCAGTGAAATTGCCTGTGTGTGAGAGGCATTCTCTTCTTCATGACCAGAGTACAACAGAAACTTCAACGAAGCTAATCTTGCCTTTCAGTAGGTTTCATATTTGCATCACTGATTGTGATCTGTGTCAAAAACTATTTTTGATGGTAAGGTCATGATGTTCCATTTCGCGTTTAATACCCTATATGAATTATGGAAACGAATAACTCTTTGAAATATCTAGATGGCAGGAACAGCTAGTCCACCAATTCAAGCAGACCGCCAATGTCGCATCATTCAGATGCATCAAATATTTTGAATCTCATATTGTAAATTCGTGAACAGACATCCACAGCAGTCAACGTTTTATGTATCGAAAATAATCAACATCTATGAGATGACACATCATCGTCAAATATGATATGAGAAATATTGTGTGTATCTGTGATCGATTAACATCATATTCAGATGAATCTCCTTTCTCAGTTGGAGCACACTACATTACATCAACTGGCGAATTTGTAGGTGAAATTACGATGCATCTACTAACAAAATGTGTCAGCGATGAATCATCAAAACTTATGGTGAATGAAATAAATCAAAACATTGTGACATTTTCACGCTTTCTGAACTATCACCGTACATGGGAGTAGTTATTTTGGTTTGCAATCGCCATTTCTATTGTCTTATGTATATGTTTATTTTGTGAATCTCTATTCACCTAATAAAAGGTAACAATTTTTTTCTAAGAAACGTGATGTCAGAACTTTGTAGTCAGTTTTGGGAAACACTTCAACCATTTACCGTGCAGTGCAATATTTTCCAACTGTCAAAAAATGCACTAGCAATCTCAAATATGTTTGCTCTTTACTGGCTAACTGGAAGTGAAACAAAGAGAAGCAGATGATGATAAACGATTGTGTTCGATTGGTTTATGGTATTTGTACCTGATTTCCTGCTGGTTACGAATTCCGAACACAATACCTTTGTTTGTGCTCATCTAGTTCGATTAGACTTCATTTCCACTATTTCGTGGACTTTTATCACGAACAATAATTGAAATACTTTTAATTATCATATTGGCATCACGATGGATTCTGTGTTGGAACATCTGGATATACATTCAAATTTTCATTCATATAAAAGAATCTATAATGAACTAATCATGTGAATAGAGCATTTCATTTACAAATGTTATGTAATTAATTTTTTTTTTAATTCTTTCATCAATATGGAATTAACCAATCAGAATAGAATAAAATTTTAAAATAATTCTGTTGTATCCAATCAATTAATCAGAATAGAACAAAAAAGAAGACGGGACGAATTGAGCGAAGAAATTTCTTTTCAATTAGTTTTACATCATGGCTCTACACTAATATATATACACGTTTTACAATAATAATATAATATAAAGCAATTAGTCCCTTTTATAAATTTCGATAGAACAATGAGAAGACGGAGTTGATCTAATGAAAATGTGATGTATTAGCGCTATACATTTCGAACAATCTGGTCACACATATATACTTGTCAAGGCATTTTTATATGAAAATTAATAAATGTTCAATCTACGTCTGATGGTGAATATTTTCGACAGGTTGATGGTGTAGCTATGGGTAGCCCTTTAGGGCCACTCTTAGGTGAGGTATTCATGTCATATGTGGAAAATATGACAAGCGACTTCATTGGTGAGACAACTCTATATAGAAGATATATGGATGATATTCTAATTATATGTGATAAGGATTTTGATGTTTACCGATTACTCGATAAACTCAGTGGTGTTCAAAACGATATTGTGATGACACATGAATCAGAAAGTAATGGCCAACTAGCCTTTCTAGACATACTCTTAAGTCGAAGGGATGATGGCACTATTAGACAGCCCGTGTACAGGAAACCAACTTGGATGGGACAGTACTTAAATTTCCATAGTTTTTGTCCATTGCAATACAAGAGAGGTCTAGTTAAGTGCCACTTTAAGAGGACTCGAAGAATATGTACCTCTGATATGGTGGAAAAAGATGAAAAGTTACTGACTGACACTTTAATAGCAAATAGTTATCCACTCAAGTTTAATAATAAGTGCAAATGTCAGTTAATGCCAAGACCTCTAATTTATTCAGTGCCAAAGAAAAAGGTGTATATCAATCTACCATATTGAGGCGAATCAGATAGTATAGTTTTAAGGCAGAGATTGAAAGCAGCCATCGAGAATACGTATTGTGCTGCTCAGTTGGTAGTGATTGAAAAGTCTAAGGCCATGATTCCTAATAGACCCAAACAATGCAATAATGATTACGTCACATCCCACTGTATTTACCAATTTACATGTTTGTGTGGACACACATACATAAGGAGAAGTAATCGAACAATGCAATCAAGGGTCAATGAACATGTGCCCATATTGTTTGAAATGTATAGCGCAAATACATTACATTTTTCAGATCAACTCTGTCTTCTCATTGTTCTATCGAAATAATATAATACTCATCGAGTGGATAAGTTACGTAATAATTACATAATGACATTTAAATTAACATTGATTAATTGGAAGAAAGAGGATTATTAATATTCAAAGTGACCAAGAAGTTGCTACGTTACGTAATGTAAGAAACAAAGAAGGAACAGAATTTTAACGGATGGTCAATAAGATGGTAATTACGTAAGAATCAAGAGATGAATGTTGAAAAGTTGTTAAGTTCAAAAGCAACAGAAATAAAATTACAAATGTTAAAGAAAAAACAAGTGGAAGAAGTATGAGAAGTAGTTCTTTTGAAGGAAATCTTAAACTGATGGCCAGGACAGGGAAAGTGGTTGTACGAATCTCTTTTGAATGCAAAGGTCAGGTTTGTGAACATGGATTGCGATGGCTTCTGCAATGTGCAAGAGGCGCACTCGTAAACCATGTGGCAAATTAGATGGGATATTGTAGATAACCTTAAAAGCTTTATTCAATTCGACTTGATGACCTGTATCAACCAAGTGAGAGAGAATAGAACTTTTAATCACTTTTACCTGTCCTTTGTTTAGCCACGACGGATGGTGTTCAGTAATGCGATGACGGACTTGCTGAATTGTACGCCCAATATAACTGGCTCCACAGGAGCAGTTGAAACGATAGATACACATAGATTTGGCGAATTCAGGCAGTCTGTCATTGTTGGCTGTTCTTATCTTGGGATAGTTGTAGAAGATTCCATTTAATCTGGCAGCATTAAATGTTTTTTGTACGGCTCTTCTTAGTTTCTGAGTCAAGATTTCTTCAATGGTATCATTTATGAATTGTAGTTTTATGAATAGTACCTCCTTTTAGACAGTGGGTATCTTTGTCCTTGTTTTCTTATCCATCATATGTTTGTCGATGAATTTCATGGGATACCCATTCATGCTAAGTAGGTTCCGAATATTATTCAATTCTTGTTCGATGGTGTCTTCAGGGCAAATCATTCTAGCCCGATGTGTCAAGATCTTTATCAAGTTCTTTTTGTATCTGATTGGAACTGCACTATAGAAATGAGTGTATTGTCCTGGTGCAGACTTTCTGTGTACCCCTCTTTTTAAAGTTCCGTCTGCTCGTCTAGTTAGTTGGACATCCAGAAATTATATACTATTGTTCTGTTCTTCCTCTGATGTAAAATTAATTGATGGATGAACGTTATTAAGTGTATTAAGTAAATTGTCCTTATCATTTTCTTTTTCTAGTACTATGAAGGTATCGTCTATATAGCGATAATAAGTTGGTAAATGGCTAATTATGCTTTTAAGTGGTCCGTTTTCCAGTTTTGCAAGGAAAATATCAGCCAGTAGAGGGCCCAATGGTGATCCCATGGCAACTCCATCTAGCTGTCTATAGTATTCGTTGTCATATCTGAATTGTACATTCATTGTGCATCTAAGAATTAACTGTTTTATCGCGGATGCTGGAATCGGGGTTTCTATACGTCTCTCTGTTTGTTCATTGCAAATAAAATCAACTGTTTCTAGTAGTGGAATGTTAGTGAATAAAGATGATACATCAAGTGATAACATGAAATTATTCTTGACTGATAGACTTTTTATGTTCTCAACAAATTCAAAGGAATCCTTGACACTATGCTTGACAATTTCTTTGTGTAATGGTTTAAGAATTTGTTGAATCGAATCAACCAATCAGAATAAAGTAAGAAAAACTTTGTTGTATTGAATCAACCAATCAGAATAAAATAAAAAGAGTTCTATTGTATCGAATCGACCAATTGGAATAGAATTTTAAAAATTCTATTAATTTTGTTAAATATCAAATGGATGAAATAGATATCAATTAGTTATTAATTAGTTGTTCAATGTTATCAATTTTTTATTGATAATTTAACATTGATTGATTCACTTATGATCTCAATCATGAGAACGACAACAACACACTAACTATCTTTATAACGAAAAGTCCTATTTTTGATATTTGGTCAATAAAGAAGGAATGAATTGAGTGAATAGATTGCTTTTCAGTTAGTACTTTTTTTTCATTATTGCTCTATATATGATTTACAATGATGAAATAATACTTATCAAATGGATACGTTACGTAATAATGATATATTGATTAGAAATTAATATTGAATAATTGAAAGAAAGAGGATTAATCATAATCAAAGTAATTATTCGATAATCAATAAGTTGCTATGTTGCATACTTTTATCATCTTTTCATTGATAGTTATTATTCATTTGAATTAAAGTATCTACACATAACATTTAATCTCCTATGATCATATATAGTAGTAGTACAGATTAGAATATTGGTAAAGAAGACTCTGAATGACTTCACTGAATAGTGTTCCATTGTTGATATATTAAAGTCTATCTATTCTTAGTTATTTCTACAAATAGACGAGTAATTAATAATGAATAAAAGTCATGAATTCACTCATCTTATTCATACAACTATTAATGCTAATAATTATCAATTACAATCAACTAATTTAACTGTATTATGTTTATGTATTACATTAATTATATTAACATGGTTAACTAATTGTATTCTACTTGGTGGTATATTACAAACAAAAGGAAATGGTAAAAATGTATCTATAATTTATTTTTTTATTGGATCACAAGCAATAGCTGCTTTATTACATGTAACATTAAATTTACCACCATCAATTGTGAATATATTATTTGGTAAGTAATTTTTCCTGATGATGATGATGATGATGATGATGATGATGATGATGATGATGATGATGATGATGATGATGATGATGATGATGATGATGATTTGGATGATGATAATAATAATAACAGTAGTGATAATGATACTACAATTACTATCAATATTTGTATAAATTTTTGATTGAAATCATGAGCGAATTGAAGCTAGACCACAATGAAAAACCTGGAAGCACTGGACGGCCGTTTCGTCCTAGCATGAGACTCCTCAGTAGTGCGCATCCAAGATCCTGCTCGTGGGATTTGAACCCAGGACCTATCAGTCTCGCGTCAGGCGCTTAATAAACTAGACCACTGAGCCGGCATCCAATGGTGTTAATGTCTAACTTCAATCAATCCACGAAATTGCGCGACCATCTTCCATTTTACTGAGGTAGATACCTGTTTCTATCCGACACGGATTAGCTCCAGTGGTCACGACTTCTCACCAGAACTCCGAGAATTTTCTCACGAAGCTAGTCGCTAGTGAGCACATGGTGAATTAGAATATTTTCCTAATCTTATTAGGTTCTTGTGTTTGATGAGCATTCTGTTTGACTTATATACTTGTCAGATAAATGTATCTGTAATCTAGAAAAAACTTATAGTTCAAGTATAATCTGAATATGAATCAACTAGTTTAGCTGTTGGAGATGCTACTGCTGAACTATTTGGGGGTTATTAATGATCTGTTTTAACACAGATACGTTTGAAGACTTCTGTTTCTGAGTAGTCATTGATACTATGTTTAAGCATTTTGCCATTTGAGTCTAATCATTCAAAGTCAATAAAGTGTTCTTGACTAAATGAGATCACGAATCGGTTGATATGAGATCATCGTTGAAAACCTGAAACAACATGAAGGCCAATTCATTCTAGGATGAGACTTTTCAGCAGTGCGCGCTCACGATCATAGGACCATCGATCTCGTGTGCAAATGCTCAACCTCTAGACCACTGAGCCATCATCCGACGGTGTTCTATATTAGGACATAACCGTCGTCTAGTGACTTCAGGTTTACAATGGTGTTCTAACATTGATCGATTCATGATTTCAATCAAAAACTCAACAGTCTCCACAACCCCGTACTGTGTTTGATGATCCCGTGTAACGTCATTCGTTGAATATATATTCACTTTCTTATTAAAATTTAAAGCCATACAGGAATATACAATATGACTTGGTGATATAGCAAAACCATACCATAATATTTCAGTTACAAAATGTTCATTAATTGTCTCAGAATTCGTTATTCCTTCATTTTCATACTTATTGCTTTCTGTTCCCGTTCTTTCCTCTTCGATCTACTCAATCTTTTGCTGCCACAAATTCTATTCCTGACTCGCGTTATATGACACACACAGCAATCATTTTCTGTTCTCATTCTGTTTTCTTTGATCTTAATAACTTTCTGCATCCAGGTATTTCATTTTTGATTGGCGACATATACTACTTATATATCTATCGATTTAAGTAGTACACGCCCCTTCAAGCATAACAAGGTTTATCGATATTAGAAAATTTTAAATGAAATTTGACTAAAACTAGCAAATGTAACTACTTTAATTCAAATATATATTCGAACATTCTTTTTTTTAAAAAACCACATTGACATCATGATACAATAATGATTCATTTGGATCATATTTTAAGCTGTATGAATCGAAATCAATGGATGTAGCGTAAAGCATTGATTCTCTAATAACTTTGTCTATCTTCCCTTATATGGTGATATTAAAACCGCTTCATATCTTTTTTCCTACCAACTAATTCTTTCTTCTTGTACTATATCTTTATATGCAATCTTTCTTTTAGATATTACCACCACTGAATTAACTACTTCTATGAATTTGGTGTTCATCTTGTTGTGCTAATGAGGTATGGCAACGTGGACCAGTACACATATGTGCCTAGTCCTACGTTGTAGCTGACTGACTGTTTGACTGGATAGTCTATGTTTTTTCTTGTTTATTAGTTGGTTGAAAGTAGTCGATAAAAAAAACATGAACATGATTTTTATGTTAGTTAACACTTGTCAACAAAAGAATACATGCAATCCTGAAAGAATTGATGTTTCTTGGTGGATTCAGATATGAGTCATCCAGTTTAAGACATTGTCATTGAGCTGTTCGGGCACCAACTAGCCTCCTACAGGATTACAATATGCAAGTTGATTAATTGATAGATTTCAATGAATTCCATACTTAATCCTTAACACATGAACCAATTAAATGATCATAATTAATGATCAACTTAGAAATTATTATAATCCAATGAATCCAATGTCCACTTACATCAACTCTCATTAGTTAACAACACTTAAGATTTTTTAACACGTAACATCATTAGAAATAAAAAGAAAATAGTACACTGACATCATTTAATCAATCAACTTGTGATAAAAGTTTATAATAATCTGTTTTATGCTACTGATATCGATAGGTATAAGTAGTATGTACCATCAATCGAAACTGAAATACCTGGCGGCAGAAGGCTAAGACGATCAAAGATCGAATAGAAGAAAATGAGAACAGAGAGTGAGTGGTGTAGAAATGAAGGAACAGTCAATAAGCCAGACAAAAGATGATATTACTAAAAGTGTAATTAAGATTGTTGTTAAGTTATTATGACATTAGTATAGATTACATTTCAAATATACATTTGGGTAGGATCTGATCAATCACACTGACAGTAAAGCAATAATTGATTACGTAACTAAATAATATACTCAGAATGAAATTAACTTGATAAAAGATTATCTTTCGTAACAGTGATTACTATCAGGACAGTCAAATGAGAGTTTCCAGATTACTCGACAACTGAAGAAATTACATTTGACATCTTATTTCTTAGTTATCATCAAACCGGTTCTGGAAAAAAAGAGAACATTAGACGTTTCAACTCTTTTCATCGATTAATATATAGGATCTAGTAAAATAGTGTTTATGAGAGAGAGAGAGAGTCAAATACCAAAGATGATATCAGTTTTAGACTGTTCAACTATTATCAGCATAGATGTTTGTGTGGATTATTTATCATTATTGATGTCACTATATCATGTGTTCATTAGTGATTAATCTCAAGAGGTAATTGTCGACTTCTATTGAAAAGCCATAATCATTTGAGTTCAAACTACGGCCGTTTAGTTTGCGATAGTACATATATAATAAACAACCATTGTAAAACACATAGCGTCGAACAGCTATTTTGTCATAGCATCATAATCGTCAACATAGTTTGCCTACAAACCCCACAAGTGTTGTGACGTATACCTATGGATGTCAATTCAGTGATGTAAAGATGAGGCACTCTCCGTGATATCTGAATTCCTTAGCTTTGATCTTAGAGCGGTCGTGGTTGTAAACTGTTGAAAAGTTTCATGCTAGGACGAAGCACCTATCCAATTCCTCCCAGTCTTCAATGGTTATATAACCAAGGTCATTTCGTGATGTAAACTGCAACATTCAGATATCTTCAAAAAACCCTCATACTAATACCTGAAATCAATTTGAAACGTCAAGATTGTGAAGCACTGAAGCTCGATATCTGGTTATAAGTCAATAAATAGTTGTTCCATGGTGATATGGAACTTTTAAGCAACGTATATACCAATAACTTTACATGAGCCCAAATCCACAGCATTCTTGCGTTCTCTTTACTTGATGATTTCAATCGTGATGCTTTCATTGATTTTCTAGGTAGCTTATATGTTGGACTGACTTCCTAATTACTGGTTAACCTGAGTGTGAAGTATATGAAAATTTTCTGATCTCCGTTACATTCCCTTTGTTTAACATTGTAACATTTTTCTAGTCGACTGTATAGTTATAATTGTCTACATCCATTAATATTAGCTAAGATGCATTGTAGAGTTTGACAGCTAGTTGGAATTTATTCAAAATAAGATGAAAGTAATGGTCACTTCGCTTGATATTATTTGGATAAAGTTGAAATATTTCGTTTTGTTGATGATAATCGATTATTCTTGTTTTATCATTTCATCCTTCAGTTTGTATAAAAGTGACTGGAGTGATTTGTTGATTAGTTTTATTTATTCATATATTTAATTATTTGAACAGTAACATTGATACAAGAAGGCATCAAATAGATATGCGCCACATAAATCATTCCATGTGTATGAGGTCTGTGTTACTACATGTGTGTGCAGAACGAAACAGGTGGTTTTCTTAGGGGGCCACACCCGAAGCCTTTGACCTAAAGGTCTAATCCACAAGGCAGTGAGGTAACGTAAGGAAACGCAGTCCCATGGTAACCGGTGACCAACAAAAGTTTCATACGCCATTTGTTTACTTAGGATCCAGGAGTCCATGTACATCATTGGTTTGGAATCACGGTTTCCCAACCTCCCTAGGTGGATCCTCGGTGACCACCAACCCGGTTAAATCTCCGGATATTCGTTTTTTGTCCTCTCAATTTCATAGTCAACACTCCCGCCTCGAGAAGGCAGTGGTTGTATGCATGTGGCCACTTGAGAGAGAGAGCCGACTCTCCCCACTCTCAGCCGTACTAGCGCATTTGGGGATCGCAATTAACAATCATCCCTAATAACTTTCATAATGTAACTGTAATTGCTGGCATATATAAATATTCTTTTCATAAAGTTACATACGTAGCTATTCATCTTTATCATTTCAAAGTTAAATATCTAAAAAGATATGGTAGACTCAATACGTAGATCATTTTCATTTATCCATGAAATCATTCATTCATAAATCATTCATCCTTAGTCATTTATACCCATCCCCCTCAGTAGACTATTCATTAGTTCATTACATAATACATCAGTGTTGTTCAGAAATGATTAATTCATATTTTCCCCCATATTATTGACGGTGAATGTTTGATAATGAATGTGTTACAATCGATTTGACAAAGAAATACGTTAGTTATATCTTGTTCTTATCTTTCTAGTTTTGTCTAGTGTAAAAACAACTAACGTAGAATAATAATAC